GACCGCGCGGACCTTCCGTTCACCTCCTCTTCTCCTCCTCCCTCTCCTCCCCATCCTATTCAGAATGATGCACTCAGAGTATGATGATGCCGGGTGATGACGGTAAGAAAACGATGGTGATATGTTATAGTATGTTATGGTATGGTATGTTATGCTATGTTGTATTGTCGTATGTCATTCCCCAGATTCAAAGGATGGGGCTCTTGTTAATATTGTGACCGCGCGGACCGTCCTTTCAATTCCTGAGGATGGCTCGAGCGAGACGCAGGTTTCAGCACCCCCAAGGGAGAGCCGCCAGGGGAATATCATGGCTTCCGTTCGCGCCACAATGGCGGGGATGTCTCAAGCGATGTGTTTGCTTACCAGCTCAACATCATCCGCTTTCGGAGCTGAGTTGGAGGATGTTCGAGCGAGGCGCGGATTTCAGCACCCCCAAGGGGGAGCCGCCAGGGGCATCTCACCAATCCGGCGGGGATGTCTCAAGCGAGTTGCTTGTTTACCAGCTCAACATCCTCCGCTGTCGGAGCAGATTTGGAGGAAGTCTCGAGCGAGGCGCTTACGTTCGCCCCCAAGGGGGGCCAAATGTTGAGGATGTCTCGAGCGGTTTGCTTATGTTGCTGGCCAGACTCGCGGGCAGGATCCTCTTCAGGATGCCACAGGAGGCTCCAGCAGGCTCCAGGAGGCTCCAGGAGGCCACAGGACGTACCAGGAGGCCTCAGGATGCCACAGGAGGCCACAAGAGGGCGCCAGGAGGCTCCAGGAGGCCCCAGGAGGCCCCAAGAGGGTCCAGGAGGCTCCAGGAGGCTCCAGGAGGCTCCAGGAGGCCACAGGAGGCTACAGGAGGCACCAGGAGGCACCAGGAGGCACCAGGAGGCCCCAGAAGCCACCAAGAGGCCCCAAGAGTTCCCAGGAGCAGAAGGCCTCAAAAGGCCACAGGAGTGGCTCCAATCCCATGTGTTGTACGTAGGCTCCTATAGATTGCGCCTCCCCTGGAGCACGAACCCTTTATTGCTTAACGTACGTTTCTATAGATGTGGCCTCCCCTGCGGCACGAACCCTTGGTGTTTTACGTGTTTTCCTGTGGATTGTTTTTTTCTTGCGGCTCCAATATGTCATGTTGTATGCACGTACGTTCCTATCGATGTTGCCCCTCCTGGGGCACGAGGCCTCAGGAGGCCACAGGAATTCCCAAGAGGCCCCAAGGGGCCCCAGGAGGCCCCAGGAAGCCCCAGGAGGCCACAGGAGGCCCCAGGAGGCTCCAGGCTCATGCGCAGAGACGCGCTCGTACGATTGAGACTCATTCACACTCCAACTCATTCACAGTAAGATTCACTCCCAGACCGTTAATAAAGAAGCCCGTGAATATTCGAAAACTTTTGCGCCTAGACACACACGGCGGACGGGTTCATGCTATAGATGCACATATGGGGAGCTCCACGCAGTGAATCATTATTGTGACAACGCGGACCCTTTTTCCACACACCCACCTCCGTTCTCCTCCTCCCCCTGATGACGAAAAGAGCATCATGACGACGATGATGATGCAGATGATGACGATGATGATGATGATGATGATGATGATGATGATTATGTGTTACGTTCCGCTATGTCATGGTATGGTTTGATGCTGAGACGATAATGATGGCGATGATGGTGGTGATGAGGGTGATGATGATGATGGTGATGATGATGCTGACGTTGATGCTGATGCTGATGCTGATGCTGATGATAATGATGAGATGATCATGAGCATGATCATGAGCATGATCATGATAATGATGATGATGATGATGATCATGATGATGATGATGATGATGATGATGATGATGATGATGATGATGATGATGATGATGATGATGATGACGACGGAGCAAGTTCTGAGGATGTCTCGAGCGATGCGCGGGCTTCAGCACCCCCAAGGGGGAGCCGCCAGGCGGTATTGAATTTTTCTGTTCGCGCCAAAATGGCGGGGATGTCTCGAACGGTTTGCCTATTTACCAGCTCAACATCCTCCGTTTTCGGAGCAGAGATTTGGAGGATGTCTCAAGCGAGGCGCGGATTTCAGCACCCCCAAGGGGGAGCCGCCAGGGGGTATTGCATTCCCCCGTTCGCGCCAAACGCCAGGGATTTCTCGAGCGGTTTGCCTGTTTACCAGCTCAACATTCTCCCCTCCGCTTTCGGAGCAGATTTGGAGGATGTCTCGAGCGAGGCGCCCATGTTCGCCCCCAAGTGGGATCTAATGTTGAGGATGTCTGCATCGGTTTGCTTATTTTGCTGGCCAGACTCGTGGGCACGGATTTTTCTTCAGGATGCCACAGGAGGCTCCAGCAGGCTCCAGGAGGCTCCAAGAGGCTCCAGGAGGCCCCAAGAGAGTCCAGGAGGCCCCCAGGAAGCTCCAGGATGCTCCAGGATGCCGCAGGAGGCCACAGGAGGCCACAGGAGGCCACAGGAGGCACCAGGAGGCCCCGGAAGGCACCAGGAGGCCCCAAAAGTCCCCAAGAGCATGAGGCATCAGAAGGTCACAGGAGTGTCTCCAAACCCTTGTGTTCCACGTATGTTCCTATACATTGTGCCTCCCTTGGAGCACGAATCCTTGGCGTTTTACGTATGTTTCAATAGATTTGGCCTCCCCTGGGGCACGAGTCCTTGGTGTTTTACGTTTGTTCTTATAGATTGCCATTCTCTTGCGGCTCCAATCCGTAGTGTTTTACGTACGTCTGTTCCTAAAGACTGGGCCTCTCTTGGGGCACGAATCCTCCCCAGGAGGCCCCAAGAGGACCCAGGCGGCTCCAGGAGGCCCCAGGAGGCCACACGAGGCCCCAGGAGGCCTCAGGAGGCCACAGGAACCCCAAAGGGCCACAGGAGGCCCCAAGAGGCTCAAGGAGGCCCCAGGAAGCCCCAGGAGGTTTCAGGAGGCCCCAGGAGGCCCCAGGCTCAGGCGCAGAGACGCGCTCGTACGATTGAGACTCGTTCACACTCCAACTCATTCACAGTAAGAGTCACTCCCGGACCGTTAATAAAGAAGCCCGTGAATATTCGAAAATTCTTGCGCCTGGACAGGTCCATGCTAATAGGTTCACATATGGGGAGCTCCACGCAGTGAATAATTATTGTGACCGCCTGGACCTTCCTTTCAAACCTCCTCCTCCGTTCTCTTCCTCCCCCTGATGATATGCGATGGTCTGTTAGGTTTGGCTATGTCATGTTAACAAGTGTTTTGACGCCTCCTACTCCTTCTCCTTCTCCTCTCATGTCCTCGTCTCCTCTTATTTAGATTCCCTCATGCTCAGATTTGCTCATCCCCAGACTGGCGATGATGATGATGATGATGATGATGATGATGATGATGATGATGATGATGATGATGACGACGGTAATGGTGATGATGATGATGATGATGCTGATGATGATGATGATGACGATGATGACGACGATGATGATGATGATGATGATGATGATGATGATGATGATGATGATGATGATGGTGATGGTGATGATGGTGATGATGATGATAATGATCATGATGCTGATGATGATGCTGATGATGCTGATGATGACGATGATGATGATGCAAACGATGACGATGACGATGACGATGACGATGACGATGATGATGATGATGATGATGATGATGATGATGATGATGATGATGATGATGATGATGATGATGATGATGATGATGATGACGGAGCAAATTCTGAGGATGTCTCGAGCGAGGAGCGGGTTGCAGCATCCCTCATGGGGAGCCGCCAGGGGGTATTGCACTTCTACGTTCGCGCCAAAATTGCGGGGATATCTCGAGCGTTTTGCCTGTTTCTTGGCTCAACATCCTCCGCTTTCGGAGCAGATTTGGAGGATATGTCGAGCGAGGCGTTCACAGTCGCCCCCAAGTGGGGCCAGATCTTGAGGATGTCTCGATCGGTTTGCCTGTTTTTGTGGCCAGACTCGTGGGCACGGATCCACCCCAGGATGCCACAGGAGGCTCCAGCAGGCTCCAGGAGGCCCCAGGAAGCAACAGGAGGTCCCAGGAGGCATCAGGAGGCCATAGGATGCCCCAACAGGCTCCAGGAGGCCCCAGGAAGCTCCAGGAGGCCACAGGAGGCTCCAGGATGCCCCAGGAGGCCACAGGAGGCCACAGGAGGCCACAGGAGGCCCCAGGAGGCCACAGAAATCGTCAGGAGGCCCCGGAAGGCACCAGAAGGCCCCAAGAGGCCCCAAGGAGGCTTCGAAAAGCCACAGGAGTGGTTCCAATCTCATGTCCCGTACGTATGGTCCTATAGGTTGGGACCCCCGTGGAGCACAACTACTGTTTGTGTTTTACGCCTGTTTCTATAGGATGTCCTTCCCCTGGGCATCCAACCTTAAGTGCTTTACGTATGTTCCTATAGATTTGGCCTCCCCCGGGGCACGAGTCCTTGGTGTTTTACGCGTGTCCTTATAGATTGCCCTTCTCCTGCGGCTCAAATCCACAGTGTTTTATGCACGTTTGTTCCTATCGATTGGGCCTCTCCTGGGGCACGAATCCTCCCCAGGAGGCCCCAGGAGGCCCCAAGAGGCTCCAGGAGGCCCCAGGAAGCCCCAGGAGGTTTCAGGGGGCCCCAGGACGCCCCAGGCTCATGCGCGGAGACGCGCTCGCACTACTGAGACTCATTCACACTCCAACTCATTCACAGTTAGTGTCACTCCCAGACCGTCAATACTCAAAAGCCCGTTTAGATTCGAAACCTCTTGCGCCCAGAAGTTCACGGCGGACAGGTCCATGCGAACAGATGCACATATGGTGAGCCTGGGGGAGCTCCACGCAGCGAACAAGTTTTATCCACGGGCCCCAGAGTTCCCGACCTCCTCCCCACGAGTGCTTTTCATCCCGCATTCATGTTCGATGGCTCGGGCCCTCGAAAACAGCACCCGAGGGCCGTAGTGTAGGGAACAGCCCAGAGTTGAAAAAGCAATCCGCCAGAGGTCTGGCACATCAGCCCCCGAATGCCGCGCGCGAGCCCATGAGCGCGACAGCGGCAGGTGGGGTCGGACGAAGGAGGATATTGGGACAGGGGGCGTAGTACGAAAAGTGATGCATGCAGCTGGTTTTGGTTTTGGGACGCATGGACAACCAGCTGCAAGCAGATGACTCATTAATTCCAGATATCTGATGTTGTGTTTTCTTCACGACTGGGTCCTCGGAAGTCCCGATTTTCTCCCCCAGTCAGTATACTCATCCTGAGCAGTTTTTGTCACGGCCTTGGGGCCTTGCAGGGGGGACGACCCTGGAAAATGCGAACAACATCCGTCGTTATTTCTCCAGCGAAAGCCAAACAATAATTCTCCTGGCGAAGGACCCAGCCATATGCGGATGCGAGTACCGCCAGGCAAGTGGGACGAAAGAGGGGCAGCTCCCTATGGGGCCACGACACGCGTGATGAGTGTGCCAAATGGGCTGCGGCTTTGCCGTGCGAGCGCAGCCAATGCGGCCTTCGGTGGAGTTCCCTATGGGGCCACGTAACGTGTGAGAGGTGTGCCGATTCGGGGGCGGGGGCGCCATGCGAACGCAAACATTGGGACCGTAGGTGGAGTTCCCTACGGGGCCACTAAGCGTGTAAGTTGTGTGCCGAATCGGTGGCGGGTGCGCCATGCGAACGCAGCCACTGGGGCCTTCAGTGGAGCTGCATATGGGGCCGCGAAACGCGTGAGGTGTGTACCGAATCAGATGCGGGTACGCCATGCGAACGCAGCCACGAGGGCCTCCCGTGGAGCTCCCTCTGGGGCCACGAAACGTGTAAGCAGTGTGCCGATTCGGGTCCGGGTACGCCATTCGCACGCAGCCACCGGGGCTTTCCGTGGAGTTCCTTATGAAGCCACTAAACGAGTGAGGGGAGTGCCGAATCGTGAGCGCGTACGCCATGCGAACGCAGCCGGTGGATCTTTCGGTGGAGCTCATCTTCGAGCCGCCAAACGCGTCAGGGGTGTGCCGAATCGGAGGCGGGTACGCTATGCGAACGCAGGCATGTGGGCCATAGCTGGGAGGGGCCACGAAACGCGTGAGGGGTGTGCCGAATCGGGCGCGGGCACGCCATGCGAACGCTGGCATTTGGACCTTAGTTGGGGCTCGCAATGGGGCCACGAAACGTTTGAGGTGTGTGCTGAATCGGGCACGGGTACACTATGCGAGCGCTGGCATTTGGGCCTTAGCTGGAGTTCCTTATGGGGCCACGAAACGTGTGAAGGTGTGCCAGTGTGCCGAAACAGGTGCGGGTGCGACATGCGAACGTTGGCATTTGGGCCTTCGTTTGGGCTCCCTTTGGGGCCACGAAACTTGTCGTGAGGGGTGTGCCGAAATGGGCACGCGGAGGGGGGCAGAGGCAGGGATGGAAGGAGGGAGGAGGGGCGGCAGCGGGAGGGAAGGAGACGATGGGGCGCTGTCTCTTCAAAACGAGGACCCAACACCACAGGATGGTTGGGAAAAAGCGCGTTTCAGGATCGCTTGGGTGCGAACTCTCTTCGATATGTTGAAAAAACGGGGGAGCCCCCGAACATTCCAAGCACCCGGCGAGCCGGACCCCCCTTTCACACAATCCCCCCCTTCCCTGCAACCCTTCCCCCTCGCCCAAGGGGGGGTGAGGGGGTTCAAAATGCCCCCCCTGACCCCGCTCGTCTTCGTCGTCGTCGGCGTTTGCTGGCGCCAGGTCGTCGTCATCGTTTGATGGCGCCAGGGTGGAGGTCGTCGTCGTCGTTGCTTGTCAATGCCAGGGCGGGAGATCATCGTCGTGGTTTGAAGCTCCCTTCGCGCCCTCCCCTTGGCGCTGGTCGTCGCATGCCGACGCAAGGGCGGGGGATCATTGTCATCGCCGTTTGCCAGCGCAATGGAAGCGGGTCCCCCTCCCTGCGGCCCGGCAAACGGCAGTGACGACGACGGCGACGAGGACCCCCCCCCTTCCTTGACGCCGGCAAATGACGACGGCAACGACGACGACGAGGACCCCCCATTTGGCGCCGGCAAACGACCACGACCTCGACGACGACGACGACGACGACGACGACGACGACGACCACGACCACGACCACGACCACGACGACGACGACGACGACGACGACAACGACGACCACGACCACGACCACCACCACGACGGCAACGAAGACGACCACGGCCACGACCACGACCACGACGATGACGACGACAAAGACAAAGACAAAGACGACCGCGACCACGACCACGGCCACGACCACGACGACGACGACGACGACGACGACGACGACGACGACGACGACCACGACCACGACCACGACCACGACGACGATGACGACGACGACGGCGACGGCGACGACGACGACGACGACCACGACGACGACCACGACGACGACGACAACGACGACGACCACGACCAGCACCCTATGTTCTGGGGATCGGGATTGGGGGCCAGTTTGAAAATTTCTCCCCCTGAAGCGACCAGAGAATGCACCTTTTCAAAAGCACCCTAAACATAAATCGTCGGAGGTCCGCGCGGATTTCTTGGATCGGCCTTCTAGGGGGTCCAGCGCCGATCCAAGTGAAGTCCACGCGGACCTCCGAAAGTTTATGTTATGCAAGTGCCCCTTCTTCTACGGATGACTGCCCCCCATGTGCTAGTTACCCCCCTTTGTCAGGGTCGCTTACAAACACGATCGATCCGGTTCGATGCCGACTTCGGCCCGCGATTCGATATCGCTTCGATGTTGACTGATCTTGCCCCCCCTGCGATGATCCTCCCCTTGTCTCAGAGTGGGAATTACCTACCCCGCTTTCGCTTCCAGGAAAAACCAAGTCATACCACGCGCCTCCTCGTCAAGCGGCCTGACCAGCGCAGGCCGTAGTTTGGCGTCGCTTGGTATCGCTTGGAAGCGAGGGTGGTCAAAAGCGAGGTAGGTTTGTTTGCGCCCTATTGTCGCGTCCCCCTCCGAGGCATGGCTCCCGCTCCTCCTCGTGCCAGCCCTGGCAGCCGCCCTGGCCGTCGACCCCGACAGCCGCAGGCGGGCCTGGGCCTCCAAGCAAGGAGCGCCGCCCCGCCCCTGCGGAGGGCGACCTGCATCCTCCTCCTCCTTCTCCTCCGCCTCCTCCTCCTCCGCCTCCGCCTCCTCCTCCACCTCCGCCTCCTCCACTTCCGCCTCCGCCTCCTCCTCCTCTTCCTCCGCCTCCTCCTCCTTCGCCTCCTCCTCCTTCGCCTCCGCCTCCTCCTCCTCCTCTTCCTCCGCCTCCTCCTCCTTCGCCTTTTCCTCCGCCTCCTCATCCTCCTCCGCCTCCTCGTCCTCCTCATCCTCCGCCTCCGCCTCCTCCACTTCCGCCTCCGCCTCCTCCTCCTCCTCTTCCTCCGCCTCCTCCTCATCCGCCTCCTCCTACTCCTCTTCATCATCCTCCTCGTCCTCCTCCTCCTCCGCCTCCGCCTCCGCTTCCGCTCCTCCTCCTCCTCTCTTCCTCCTCCTCCTCCTCTTCCTCCTCTCCTCTCCTCCTCCCTCCTCTCATCCTCCTCCTCTTCTTCCTCCTCCTCCTCCGCCTCATCCTCCTCCTCCTCCTCCTCCTCCTCCTCCTCCTTCTCCTCCTCCTCTTTCTCCTCCTCCTTCTGCTCCTCCCGCCGCCTCCTCCTGCTCTCCTCCTCCTCCTCCTCCTCCTCCTCCTCCTCCTCCTCCTCCTCCTCCGCCTCATCTTTCTCCGCCTCCTCCTCCTTCGCCTCCGCCTCTTCATCGTCCGCCTTTTCCTCCGCCTCCTCCTCGGCCTCCGCCTCCGCTTCCGCTTCCGCCTCCTGATCATACTCCTCCTTCTCCTCCTTCTCCATCTCATCCGCATCCTCCTATTTCGCCTCCTCCTCTTCCTCCTCCTCCTCCTCTTCATCCTCCTCTTCCTCCGCCTCTGCTTCTTGTTATTATTGATCGTAGTATTATGTTTAGTATTAGTATTCGTATTCGAGTTCCTCCTCCTCATCCTATGATGCTTCCTCATCCTCATCCTTCTCCTCTTCCTCCTTTGCCTCCGCCTCTCCCACCTCCGTCTCGACCTCCGCCTCCGCCTCCTCCTCCTCCTCCTCCTCTTCCTCCTGCTCCGTCTCCACTTCCGCTTCCTGCTCATCCTGCTCCACCTCTTCCTCCTCGTCCTCTGCATCCTCCGCCTCCTCCCCCTGCTTCTTCTCCTCCTCCGTCTCCTGCTCCTCCACCTCATCATCCTCCTTGGATCCGTCATCTTCATCATCCTCCGCCTCCGTTTCCGCCTCCACCTCCTCGTCCTTCTCCTCCTCCCCCTCATCCTCATCATCATCCTCCTCCTCATCTTCATCCTCATCCTCCTCTTCCTCCTCTTCCTCCTCCTCCTCCGCCTCCTCCGCCTCCGCCTCCGTTTCCGCCTCCTCCTCCTATTATTCTTCCTCTTCCTCGTCCGCCGCCTCCGCCTCCGCTTCCGCTTCCTCGTAGTTTTCGTCCTCCTCCTCCTCTTGCTTCTCACCCTCATCATCATCAGCAGCATCATCATCAACAGCATCATCATCAGCAGCAGCATCATCATCAGTATCATCTTCCTCATCGTCCTCTTCATCGTCCTCCTCCTCATCCGCCTCCTTCGCTTATTCATCCTCATCTTCCTCCTCCGCCTCTGCCTCCGCCTCCTTCGCCTCCGCCTCATCCGCCTCCACCTCCGCTTCCGCTTCCGCGTTCTCGTCCTCTTCTTCCCACTGTTCCTCATCCTTCTCCTCCTCTTCGTCATCCTCCTAATCCTCCTCCTCCTCTTCCTCTCCGTCGTCATCATCATCAGTATCATCGTCAGCATCATCAGCAGCATCATCAGCAACAGCATCAACAGCATCAGCATCGTCATCAGCATCATCATCATCAGCAGCAGCATCGTCCTCATCTTCATCCTCGGTTTGTTCATCCGTATCCTCATCAGCTTCCGCATCATCCTCATCTTCAGCACCAGACTCATCATCTGCATCCGGTCATTCCTCCTCCTCATCAGCATCATCATCATATGTCGCTTCCCCCTCCTACTACTACGCATCCCCCGCATCCTCCTGCTCCTCCTCTTCCTCTGCTTCATCATCCGCAGCCGATTCCGCCTCATCTTCATCTTCATCATCATCCTTCTCGTCGTCTTTATCATCCTCCTCATCCTCCTCCTCCGCTTCCTCCTTCTCCCCCTCCTCCTCCACATCCGCATCCTGCTCTTCCTCCTCGTTCTCCGCCTCCTCATCATCCGCCTCCTCCTCCGCTTCCGCATCCGATTCTTCCTCCTCCGATTCTTCATATTCATCCTCCTCCTCCTCTTCCTCCCCCTCATCCTCCTCCTCCTCCGTCTCCTCCTCCTCCTCATCTTCCTTCTCATCTTCCTCCTCCTTCTCCTCCGCCTCTTCCTCATCATCATCCCCCTCCTCATCCGCCTCCTCCTACTCCTCTTCATCATCCTCATTATCCTCCCCCATCCCCCCCTCTTCCGCCTCCGTCTCCGCCTCCTCGCCTTCATCATCCTCGTCTTCCTCCTCCTCCTCCTCCTCCTCCTCCGCATCCTCATCCTCCTCTTCATCTTTATCGTCCGCGCACCCCTCATCCTTCTCATCATCATCCTCATCATCAACCTCATCATCGTCCTCATCCTCATCATCCTCCCCATCCTCATCATCCTCGTCCTCATCCTCCTCATCATCATCTTCTCGTCCTCGTCCGCTTCGTCCGCATCCTCCTCATCCTCATCCTCCGCATCCTCCTCCTCCGCCTCCTCCGCCTCGTCCGTCTCATCTTCCTCCTCATCCTCATGCGCCTACTCCTCGTCCTCCATCTCATCCGCCTCATCCTCCTTCTCCTCATCCGTCTCCTCCGCCTCCTCCGATTCCGCCTCCGACTCCGCCTCATCGTATGCATTGTTCTCCGCCGCCTCCTCGTCTTCCTCCTCCTTCGTCTCATAATCACCCTCCTCCTCCTCATATTCAGCATCCTCCTACTCGTCTTCCTCCTCTTCCTCCCCCTCAGCATCCTCATCTTCATCGTCCTCCTCCTTTTCCCCCTCTGCATCCTCCTCCTCCGCCGCATCCTCCCCCTTCTTCATCCGCTTCCTCCTCCTCTTCCGCCTCCTCCTCCGCATCCGCTTCCGCTGCCGCATCATATTGATCATCAGCATCCTCTTTCTCGTCCGCCTCATCCTCCTCTTCCGCCTCCTCCTAGTCATCCTCATTCCATTCACCATCTTCATCCGCCTCCTCATCCGACTCCTCC